TCTTAAATTCTCTTAATAGTTCTTCAAAGTGACTGTAGTTATCCTGAAAATCTAGACCAGTCAAAGGTTCTTGACATTTTATTGTGTTCGAAGAAAGGACGAGGTATATTTTTGCAGATTTGTCAACTGAAGTCGTGGGATTTTCCCGGTGACTTTTTACGGTTTTCCCGGTTCACTGGTCACTCTGCGTTTCACATATGAAACACTTGTTTTTAATCCCATTATATTTGTTTTTCCATATCTTGAGACCCAGCTCCGTGATAAAATTATACCAATTAACCAAAAATTAATTCGCGGGCGGACTCCTCCAGTGGGAAATCGCAAAAACAACGCTTTCCTCTCCAATTCTTTAAGTTAATTTCAACTAAATTGCAATAGCAGCAACATTATCATACTAAAACTTTACTGTGAAGCTAATTTTTCGAGCTAATCAGGTTTTCAATGAAGACCTAAAATACTTAACACAGCCACTTTATGCTGTCAAAGCAATGCTTGTCAACGTATCTTTGAACCACTATTAAATCATGAAAGTGCTACTCCAAGCAATCAAAAAAATATATACCTCCCAAGCAAGACCATTATCCTAAATTTTCATTTAGTTAGTTCTCTGAGTAAATCAAGCTGTTAGGAACACAATAAGGGACAAGAACTAGAAGTATTCAGAAAAATATCTTTATCTTCTTTTAAAACTGGGTTTAGACAAGGCAAGTTAATTGATCAACTCAGTTGAATTCAAATGATTTACACGTTCAAGTGCCAACTATGCCATTTAACTTTTCAAGCCAATTGAATTCAACTGAATTGATCAATGACTTACTTTGTCTTAGCCCAGCTTAACTCTTAATCATTCTTGCAATTTACTCAAAATGCGCTCAAGGGATTGATTTTTGTTGGACACAGCTGGATCGAACAGAAGCAGAATCTATTTGAAGGTTAAATTTTGTCAGCCGGAATTGGGTATAACGTCTATTAAGAGACGCGCATTTTCCATATGTAGCTTCATTTTGCAACAACTAACAACGTCTAGCGTCTCTACGGAACCGAATTTGTATCACGGTTCAACTCAGGAATGTGACAACACCGAGTGGGAGTTGAATTTATATTGCTGATTCACATATATCGTAGCATGCATCGATATTTCACAAATTAGCAGAAGCAACATCCGCAGTTGTCAAACATAAACACAACCGGATAATAGCTTTAATTCTTCGAAGCCTCGGTTGAAGACAGATCGATTCCTCTTGATGCAGTCGACCAGATCCGCTGGATTATCAATTTTATCAATCATGCTATACTGGAACCACATGTAACCCTAGAATCTACTAAATAATTGTGGAGACGGTGTCCTCATGAAATGAAATAGTGTAGTAGTCCATAGGTTGGTTGGAGGATCTTCTTTAATGCGCTGAAAAGCAGTTTTAATTTATTTTTCCATTAAAGTTTTTCAAGATGTCTTCAATTTATCTTGCGAACTTCATCCTGAATTATTGTTTTGAATGTTTCAGGCCTAGTAGCGATCACTGTTGCTCGCTTTTCATTAATGAAACTTCGTTGATGTTCTCTAATCAACTAAGCTAAATTTTCGAAGTTCTCTAAATCTCCATGATATAACACCCTTAAAATACTCTCACGTTTTCCGAAGTTTTCGGAAATTCACTGAGTTTCTCGAAACTTCTTTAAGGTTTCTAATATTTCCTTAAAATTATTTGAACTGCCCTTTGATTCTCTGACCTGTCTTGATCTTCTCGAAGCTCAAAATGCGCTCTTTGTTCTATTGAAGGTCTCGGTTCTGCTAGGAAATAAATAGAATTCCCGTAGACTCATTTAAATTTCCCTGAAAATCTCTGGACGTCTGTGACTTTTGTTCATAAATTCTCTGAAGGTCTCTGTACTTTCCTGAAATTCGCGGAACATCTTAAGCAGTGGCGTCGCCCTAACCTCAATCTACCTGTTCAACAACTCTCAAAACTTAAAAAATTTAAAAGAAATGGCTTCCAATGGAAACAAATCAGCACAAATCAGTGAAACTAGAAGATCCTGTGCCTTTTGAAACTGATTTGAATGTAAGCATGACCCTAAATAACGTTTTCAAAGTCGTTGAACAGGTAAAAAGTGAGGTTACGCGACGCCACTGATCTTAAGGATTCTCGATTTGTTTTTCAGCACATCACAGAACTATCTTGAATTTATCTAAATTTAAGATTATAGAGTTTTAATCTATATAGCTTTTCTGAGGTGCTTAAAACATTTTAAAAATTTGCACAATACCCCTCAAGTTTTCTCAATTTCTCAAGTTCGCTTGACACCAGTAAAGTTCTCTGAAATTCGAGAAACTTTATAAAAGTTCCTGAAAACTCTCGGATGCTAAAAAAAACCGCTTTGATGTTCTTACAGCTTCCAGTAAGTTTCCCATATTTTCAGCGTATAAACTTCTCTTATGTTCTTGCAGTTTGTTTATAGAGTTTCACTGAAATTCTCAGCATTTCCTTTCATTCCTCAGAACTTCTCCAAAGTTCCTACAATTGTTGTAAAGTTAATGGGACTGCATTGAAGATCTCTAGTCTTTCATAAAGTTAATTTCGAACTTGAAATAAATCATTTCTCGATTACTTTTTCGAAGGGACGTATCAGCTTTTGTAAACAATGCATTTGATCGTCGATTTGACGTGACTCTCTACAAGCCTTGATGTTTCCTTTCATATTTTAGTGTTGTCATGCGAATAAGGTCTTCAACTCGGTCTTCAAGAAACGATTTTGGTTCAGTGTTCGAAAATCCCAAACGTATCAGTCAGTGCCGATTTTCAATTTCGGTTGTAAAATCTTATTAATTTTGCTCTGAACTGGCATCGAAATACCCTTTTATTTGAGTTACTTTTGCTCCACTTTCAAAAATGCAACATCAAGCATTGAACAACCACAACTTCGCAACTCTATTCAAAATTTGAAATTGAAAACCATCCTCAAGTAATTAAGTTGTTTGAAACTAGCGAAATCAGCCATACCTATTAATAAGTTTCTGTTATAAAGAAATATTTCCCTGACTTTGAATAAAATTCCCTGACAATCCCTGCTTTTCCAGGTTCAAAAAGAAATTTCCTGACATTTCCTGATTTTCCAGGTTTTTCCAGGTAGTCGATACCCTGCAAGTTTATAGAAAGTGCAGTTCCACAGTGATAATTTAATTTGCCTCATGTTTTTCTAAGTTTGTCCAGGAAGAACTTTCCGAATATGAGAAAAGTATAGATTGAATACACTCAGTATATTGGTACTACTCCTAGAACGAGTAAAGATTTCGTCAATTTTCTTCATTTTCCTGCAGATTTTTGAGGTTTTCCACAGGAAACCATGAGGCAAATTACCTTATCCATGCATACCTGCACTTTTGGCGATTATGAGTAAACTGAACTCAAATTTGGGTTGTTCTCAATCGCCGTCTACCGTTTTAAAGACAATAGTCTTACACTGTTTGTAATTGCTGAATAAATAAATACCTCAAGCGGCAGAAAATCCCATCACAGCTTATTGTGCATTAAATTGTTATTGCGCAAAACATTCCTCAATTTACCTCCGACACACAAAACGGCAATATTCAACCACCTGCGTTTATCTTATCAAAACCGAAGAACAGTGGTCACGTTGCCAGTTGTCCACACGACTCCGCTCGGATGAAACGCCAAAACGTGGCACCGCTTGTGTTTAATCATTCTCTTCTTATCAGTTTGTGCCCACTATCTGTCAATACACTTTTGTCGGGAACAAATTGGCTTGATAAAATAAAATCCAGAAAAATATCGCTGCATCGCGAAGCTAAAATCTCAAAACACCATCCAAAACCCACCGCAGCAGCACACAAAGCTAATAAAAACGACAAAAATTCAAAACATTGCACCCGCAAGTCCCGTGCATGCGGCGTTTGTCGAGTGGAACCAGACTAACAGCGAAAAAACGAGCATAAAAACATGCTGCCTTCATCTCAACGGAGATGAAACCAACAAAAAAAAAAAAGCAAAAACCAACAGACGAAAACTGAAGTTGATATGCATCCATGCATAGGGAAAAAAAAAGAAGAGGCAGTAGAAGAAGAAGCCAAACGATGACCGACTCTCGCTCTCATTTGACAGCTACTGGTTGCTCACGGTGCCGGTGCGAGTGTGGTCACTCACTTACTCAATAACGTTGAAAGCGGAGAGCGAGAGCAACGTTGTGAGATCATCGATGTGGAAAGGGTGCGGATGAACAAAAACATTACGGGCAGGGATGTCAGCTTTGTTTGGAAATTTTGAATCGTTTACTGCGATGGTCGTTCATTAATTTTCTGAACTGGACAAATGGAAATGGACGTTTGCGAATATGTTCGACACACAGTTCGATGAAAGAATATCATTCCTCCAGCAGATATTCGATCAATGTACATTTGTTTATTTGAAAAGCTGCGCGAGAATCGTGTGCGCAATTAAAATAAATTTACTTAATGTCATAAGCAACAACAATGTACCCATTCTACTAAAAGTTCGTTTTCTTCCGATGATGGAAATTTCTAAGTCAAGAATTCTTAACCGACAATCCCTTTCCTGTTATTTCACGAATTTAGTTGAGCATTGCGAAACTCGGATGGTCTTATCGTCCATCGGTATTGAATTTAAATTTGAGTGGAAAGATAATGAGCGGCTCGATAAGATAGGAACGTTTGAATCACCATTGACGCCATCGCTGACAACACTGACCATTCACTAGAAATGGAATTTTTTAATTGAATCATCTTCCGAGGGACTTTGACTTTTTACAATAACATCATGGATATGCGATTAATGAAAAAAAAAAAATCCACTAGCACTGCTTCACACTAACACATCCCAGCCCAACTGCACTCACAAGCTGATTTTGACAGTTCTCTCCCCCCTGTTGCCGAACACAACAACAAATGCACTCTTTTAGGTTGAACCACTGTGTTTTGACCCGGAAAAGAAGCCCCCCGCCGGTCCCGAAAATAATCCACCTACCTTCTTCATGATTCCGGTTTTGCGCTTCGAGAAGGTCGTGTACCGTCGCAACTTGTTATCGATGTATTCCATCTTAATCTTGACACGGCCCTTTGTCTTCTTCCCATTGCTCGGTGGTGACTTTTTCGGTTGCAGTGAGGTATAGCTTTCGTCCACTACATCCGAGCCAACGTTGCACCCTTCGAGGCCGGTCATGTTCTGCGAACCGACCATTTGCCGGCCATCATCGTAGCAGTCCGAGTTGGCTCGTTTGATACCACGGGAGAGGCTTCCACCACCGCCTCCGCCGCCACCGTTACCACCACCACCACCGGTTCCGCACTGAGGTCCATTCCCACTCATCAGGCTACCACCGCGAGACATGACTTGACCCACGAGGCCTCCACTGGGGGGCCGGGCCAGCGAAACGTTCGGATTTCCGTAGATCTCCGGCGTTTCGCTCATCATACTCATGCTGTAGTTCAGATTGTAGCGCGAGTCACGCGCTGCATTCGGATCCATTATTTCCCAAATTTTTGCGGCTTTTCTGGGAACTGGCACCAAAGGAAGATTCACGCTCGCGGCTTTCGGTAGGTTCTAGCACACGAATTGCTTCTTCTTATCACGTCACTACCCGGTTGTTCGCACTTTTCCGACCAGCAGAACGCTACTCACACGCACCGGAATTATTTCGGATCTTTCCAGCGGTCTTTGACCTCCGGACACACTCGCGACTCCGTTCGTTCCTATCGCACTGTAGTCTTCCGGGAAAGGGCCGTGTCAGTCACTGTTTTCCTTTTTTCCACACACCACTAAACCGACAGTTTTCCTCGAGGAGGAAAATTCGCACCCGTAAAAATCCGCGACCCCGAATGAACTGAAGAATGCTTATTTCGGGATTGGACGGGTGGGAACTCACTCTCCGTTTGTTTTGACAGATGGATGAACGTTGGTTGGTCGCTCGTTGCGTTGGACGGTACACGGTTCGCCTTCTCTCCTTTGACAGCAGCAGCAACAGGGTCTCCTCAGCCGGTCTCTCACGTCACCCACGATGGTTGATCGCCTTCTCTGCAACAGCGGCGGCTACGCACCTTCTCCTACACCTCCACACCGTTGGACGACCAGGAACCAGCAGTAGCAGCTTCAGCCAAAACACGCCGTCGTCTTCGTCGTCGTTGTCGCTGATGTCGATGTTCGGTCACACAGCTCAGCTCCTTCTTTTTTGGGGAACTTGTCTAATGTTTAGATCCCCTTTTCGAGATTATTTTTATCTTTTGATTTGGTCGCTCTTTTGCTCCTACGGATTGGAATCTCTGCGATGTCTTATTTTATCAGATGCTTGCAAGTGTCGTTGTCGTCGTCTGCCTTCTGGCCGGTACAATTACTCAACATTTCAGCTTGGGAAATTAGAGCGGCAGATCGTCGTAGTAGGCACAGTTGGTTGAACTCTTGTTACTTTGGTGATTCCACAGGTTGCAACATTGATCGGGTTACTTTGTTATGTCGGAAAATCAACAATTTCTTCGATCGATCACTTTTGTTCTTTTTTCAATTCACTCAATTCCATAAGTTTCACAGCAAAAACTCAGCTCAGGGCATCGGTTCTACCACAGTCAAACTCACGCAGATGTTTCGCTGTTCCTCAAAATAAAGCAAAACAAGCCACTTGTTGATTTGTTCCGAAGCTCGGCACCAATCGTTCGGCGATCGGCATTCGATTTCCACAAAAACTTCTTTTTTCTCCAAAATTGCACACGTTCCCGTCACCGGTTACGTCAACTTTCCGCTCCCTATGGACAAACTGCGTCCTTCAAATTTCGGCTGTCACCCGGACGGATCTCTCCAAAAAACTGACTCCAACGGTTTGGTTTGATTTTTTCCCTCTGTTGTTCGCCTCGTCGATCGTTCGAACGCCCGATCGATCGCCGCTGTTACACCAAGCCGAAAATACCGAAACTCAACACGCACAAAACACACACGGACGGCAACTCTCTGCTGTGCACACTGACTGATGATTGTTAGCGCTTCGCTCGCACGAGGAACATTCTACATATGGCTCCAGCTGACCACTGTCGATATAATAAAATTACGAAAATAAAATAATATAAAACCGATCCAGCAGATCGTCGCGATCGTGTACGCCGAACTGCCTCACGGCTTTCAGTGTGTGCGAGAGCTTCGGTAGGCATCGGGCCGTTCGCTCCACGTGTTCGCACTCTATCCGATCCAGCAAGTGTGCGTTCATCTTCGCATACGTATTCCATTCGTGAGACTTGGGACCTCTCTCACACAATCAAAGTTTTCACACGATCGAAACGGACCAGGCCGAGCCTCGTGCCGAAAAGAGACAACTCCTTCTTCGGACTCCAGAGCGTCAAATTAGACCTCACACTCTTCGTTCGTCGTTGTTTGTTGATCGAAACAAAGCAAGAGGCGGCAATTTATGGTTACGCCTATTTTTAGCAGAATGCCACTTGTGGGGATGTCGGGAGGAAACGCACACTCGCGTTGACGGTCGACTGATTGTAGTTTCGATCGCGTCCAGTGCCAGGGATCCTAAAAATAAACGTCAGCAGGTCGAAAGCCGTTCGGTTACATGGGGAGATGTGATCTGCGACCGCTGCACGAGCAAGCAACAACAATAAGGATTTAGGGCTGTTTACGGATCAATGAAGGGGTCCGAAATCGGTCTGTCTGGCCATAATTTTTGGATGCGAGTGAGAGTGGCTCGCGCGGTGCTGTTGCCCATTATTGTGCGGCTACTACAGGTGCTCGTTTGGGACCTTCGAGTCACGAGACTGGAGTTTCCGCTGCAAAAGGGATGATTATGGCAGGGTGATAAGCTCAATTTGTCAATGAAGCGTGTGGCAGCCATTTTGGGGGCGGGCGAGGATGTAATTCAATCATCACGATATTGTGGATGGGTGAACTTGAGTGTGATTTTCCCTTAAAAGAGGTGCTGCTCATGCATCATGATGGATTGGGTGTTTGTTTTGCTTTCGTTGACTATTCGAAATCGTCACCCCTAAATTGCTGAGGAATTCAATACAGCAGCATCTGGTTGAGGCGCTGTCCGTAAGCTGCGCAGTCGATCCCCTACTATACGAGAAATTTAATGGCAGTACTAAAACGGAATGTACTGTACGAGCAAGTTTTTCCAGAAGGGATATTTCCGTATAAAATCATCAAAATATGATTTTCTGTTCCAAGTGCTTTCGGTGAAACTAGCACTAGCTTTTGATGTTATACAATTTATTAGCCTTCGAACAACCACATTACAAAATCTGTTCTCGCGGCGAATAATAGATAACCTGTATATCTTCCATTCAAATCTGCCCCCGCCAAGGCACAATGGTCTAAAACCGAGATTGGCGTGGGAAAACTCGATTTAGGTATGTAGCAAAGAAAGGAAGCTCATCTCTGCTTCGAAAAGTGAAAAAAAATCAATGTACTTTAGAAAGCCACCTAGCGGTGGAAAGTACGCTTTTTACACGGAAAATATAGTTAGCATTATACCAGTTTTAATGACAGGTATAAGTACAGCTTGACTGCTTTAAACCGGTTTTATAACAAACGAAATATTTTTCTACCAATACAATTCATTCGTATAGTAACGTATACGGCAAAGTAGAAAACCGAAAATTCCAACACGGGCCAATTAACCACTTCATTCGAGCAGTTAAAATGACGTTTACTACCACTTGAACTTCGTAATCTATATATATAAAAATGAATTTCTGTCTGTCTGTCTGTCTGTCTGTCTGTTAGTTTGAGTGGTGGTAGTAAGAAGATATTTCTAATTAATAATAATAAATTGAAAAGTTAGCAAACGTCTTATAAAATGCTCTACAACCTAGTCTACAACATTAACTGAAGGGTGATTTTTCACAGCGATGAATGTGCTTATATGTATATTAAAAAATATCAAACGTCGTTTCGACGAAACTCTCAGTACTCCCACGTAAACTAACACCACTTCTCTGATGGTTTGCGTGGAAGGAAGTGGTGAGCGTTTCACCGAATTTTTGTTTGAGTTTTAGTTTAAAAAAGCGGTTTCGTCGTTTTGATGGAAAAGCATTCTTTGTATTCGAATCAATTTGAAATTGCTTTCAGTGTAGAACTGGTTTGACTTTTAAATTTTAAATTGTTTCCTGTGTAAAAAACGGTCGCAAAACGGTAAGTAATCCGGTAATCCGTTTGCGCAGGCAACATATTCATATTGCTTAACTGTTTTCTAGCAACATTGAAAATCGTGAAAAATGGCTGAAAATGGCAGAGCAGAAATCAGCGAATTGAATTTGTTTGTCTGCTCGGATCATTTCGCCGACGTTGATTTTGTCAATGCATCGATGAAATCACATGGGTAAGTGAAAATAATATAAAGTGAAAATACCACGGATTAATCAAAAGAAATTGCACGCATTATCGGAAACAACTTGATATGCCATAGAGATTGCTGACGTTTATCGTACACACACTAGGTAGCGTATACGTATACGAGAAATGTTTTCATCGGGCAAAAATCTTTCAGAGCTAAAAATTTTCCCGATGAAAACAAATTACTAACACAATCATACTTTAGCAATCTCTATGTTGATTTATTAGTGATGACAGGTGGAATCTGGTATAATTTATTTTATTCAAGATAAATACAGATCGTTCCGTTTATTCCGATCAAAGTGAAATCAATGTATGCTGTGCAGTGTGTGTGTTGAACACGCAGTTGTTAAACAATAAACATTAAAAGTTTATCTCATCCTCAACTTTATAAGGCGGCGTCCATTTATAACATAACGCTAAAAATAAAAATATTCTACCTCCTCCTCCTAGAAAATTAACATCGCTCATAAGATTCTTCAGTGGTCTTAAATATTGCACCTAACCCGCATAAACGCATTAATTTACAGGCAACCTATTCGCGATATATTCCACGTAAAGTTGACCGACAATACAAAACCATCCATGGACCTTACTGACTACCATAACCATTACCATTAAAATTCTCAAACCATAAGTAAAAAGGTTCTAATATAGTTTTCTTTCAGAAAATGTAAGGAGAAAACAAGAATTTAGAATGGTAATGGTTCTTAACAACCCATTATTTGTAAGGTTCACTTCCAAAAAACCATAATACATAAGGTTAAAACTTTATCACACAAACGTTCATGTAAAGTTCAATAACCATTTCAGTTAAAGTTTAGCAGGGATTATAAACAACTTGTAACCATTTTCGGTAAGGTCAAGATATGGTTCGCGTTTATGCGGGAAGTAAACCTCAGAATTTCAAAAGCACCGATCTCAACTTCCGAAAAACATACATTGACGAGATTGTAACTCTATGTTTGCTAGGAATTGGTTAACTGAAAGTGTTGAAAGTTGTATGAGCGGAAGAGCTGACAAAATCGGGTCATTAATGTAATTTTTCACAAATTCTTGAGTGCAGAAAACTAACAAATAAATTTACATTCAACATATTTCATAATTCGATTTTGTCAGCTCTCGTCGTCTTCACAATTTTTTTATATCGTTGCAAAAACATTCACTGTTGTGATTGTTATTATATGTGGTAGATATGTAATACATTACATCTTTTAGAGCCTCCCTTAGATGTATTCATACTATTTCTGCTACATAGTTTGATAAAGGAGCTTATGGAGAATAGCAACCGCATCAAGTAATATGTTTGCCACTGAATTATTAACGAAAGACGAAGTCGATGAAGAGAATAAATCAAAATCACTTGCACCCCGTTGCCTCTTATCCCCTCATTTGAGAGCAAGCGTAAACTTCTAGTTAGGGCATGATAGCCAAAGAAGAAAAAGAAGAAGATTACATTTTTTTCTTTAAACCATTTGGCACAAATAGCATGAAGCATGTTTGCAAAACTGTGGTTACTCAATTAGAATATCGAATGAATCCTGAAATTAATAGATAAATGCAGACAGGACCTCTTGAAATGTTAATCTAGATATGGCCAGCATATGCATAAATACAAAAACTTGTTTGTACAAATTTTTGTGAGCTTTAAAACAACAGTTCGTATTAAGCAGGATGAACTGTTACGCTAACGGTCATTTCAAAACGTAGTCAGAAATTATACCGTTTTATGTCAGATTAAGCTGTCATAAACGAACACGCTAAATATAAAATGATTGAAGGAAGAAAAAATCGATGTTGATTTTTCAATCGTCAGAGTAAACACTTTCTGAATCAGCGTTTGTATGAAGTTGCTATTCCTTTCTTTGTATGTAGTCTCTTCAGTAAAGTTTTTTGATATTGAAAGATCAATCCTTTGGCGGTATAGCCTACGGCTAAAAATGTCTAAAATAAAGAATAAAAAAACCTTTAACGGTACTTAGATTTTGATTAATCCCCCTAGAAGTGAGATGAAAAATATTGTTTTCCAAATGGAAATATACAGTCAGGAATCCTTATTGCCGGGCTATCCGCTTATGGGATTTTCGCTAATAGGGGCTGTGGTGGATTATCTCATATGTTTCAATATATAATGCTATACTGTCTTCGGCAAAGTTGTGGTACTGGGTTCGGTCAACAAGCCTGAGTCATTGGATTCAGGTTTAATTGGGAAAAACCCCACTAGAGGCGCTTCACTTTTATGTTAGTTATGACGGGCGCTATAATATATGGATCTTGGGTCCAACATAGAATATTTCGTCATCCTGGCCATACAAAGAGTTGCTGTTTTGAGAAAGTTGTTCAGGTGACCAAGTCCTCTCGGATTGTGACCACATTAGTTCAGAACTCGCTCACTACGCAGCGCTAGTGTGCACACGAGCTTCCTGTTTAAGATGTATCTCAAAATACTGGCCATATAGAAGGTTACTGTCTTGAGCAAAGATGTTCAGGTGATCATGTCCTTTTGGATGGTGGTAATGTTAGTTCAGAACTCTCTCATTACACAGCACTAGTGTGCATTTGAACTTCCTATATAAACTGTATCTTAAGAGCCAGAAAAATAGAAAGTTTCTGTCTTGAGCAAAGTTTTTCAGGTGACCAAGTCCTTTTGGATGATGGTCATATTGGTTCAGATCACT